ACGCACTTATCAATTTAAGTAATAAATAGAGACACTTTACCCTACTGTTTGATAAATGCCCCGGAAAAAAGAAAAACTTATGTGAACAGAGTGCAGTTGTCTCTTCAACTCACCACTAAAAAGAGTTGTAAATAGCAGTCTGTAAGACAGCTTTCCTGAGGGGAAACATTTTCATGTGAAGAAGCAGGAGTTTTAGGTGCAGTTCAAAGAAGAAAACTGTCACTTAGTTTAGATGTACATTGCAGAATAAGTTTACTGAGACTTCAAGATCTGAGTAATCAGGACCCTGGCTAAGAAGATAAGTTTGCATGGAAAGTGTGGGGAAATAGCAAGAGCCTGTGAGTGATCACTGGTGTTTGACTAACTCAGGTTTTTTTAATCAAACTAGTTCAGGATCTTGGATAAGCTCCAGTAAATAAGTTGTCCGTTAATATGATAACATGAATTTGTTATTCAGGTCAAGCTTCTTAATAGACAACAGCTGAAAATAGCAGTAACCGTCAATAACTGCAAAGGCATATTTAAACAAAAACGTGATAACAATTCAAGTTTCATAATTATTTCACTTCCTCCTAATAACTTCTCATCTTTCAAGCGCTATAAATCATCTTTATTGGGACAGGAAGCTGTCAAGAACATTGTCACCCTTGAGAGATGTAATCATGACCAAATCTCATTTATGTGTCAGGCTTCAATGCAATTCATCCATTTGATCTTCAACTTTAAAACAAAGGGTTTGATCAAGGATCGACCTGAATCCATGGCTATTCCTTCACTGTCTATTGACCCTGTGTCTAATTAAAGTATGTTTGTGTTTAGTAGCACAGTCTTGTTAACTATGGCTGATAATGCTCTGAAAGTAATTAGAAGGAGACTTTAACATTAGTAACAGCTTCCCATCCAAATGCCACCCAGACAAAAACCATGATTTTCCCTGACTTCATTTTTCAGGGGCAATGCTCACTGCTATATATTTGATTGCATGCCTTTCAAATCTTAAATATCTTGGATTTAGTTCAGAATTTTGAATATCATGTACATTATGTAAATCTCAAGGATTAACTAACTATAAGCCTGGGTTCTTCTGAAGGGACTGTCACATTTACTTTTAAAGTCTCTCTGACCAAATGTAAATGTCACAAATAAAATTCTCTCAGATCTCATCATTTTTTTTCCTTTTTCACATCAGTCATTCAGATAGGCTGTGTTCAAGGCTTTTGAACATTGATGTCCAGCCACATTACACCCTTGGATAGGTGCTCAAATACCAAGTGCAGAAGAACCGTCAGTCACTCAGGCAAAAAAAACCCTAGTTGAATAATTGGTTATGGCTAAATTAACTGTGGAAGAGATATCACCTATATTAAATAGGACATCTAGGCATTCACTTACATTTAAAAAAATCTGGATTATAACTTGTGTATTTAATTGGTAGCTACATGCAGAGCCATCCCTAGGGTACAACAAGTTAGGGCGACCACCCCGGGCCCTGGAACCTCACCTGGAGCTGGCGGCTCAGCCCTGTGCTGTGGAAGAAGGCTATCATGGAACTATTTAACTTTTCTCTTAATTTCAAAGAGGAGGAAGATTTCTTTGCCCCCCCCCCCCCTTTTTTTTTTTTTTTTTGTATTCTCTTTGTTGTCCATTTAGGGCCATTCCTGCCCCAGTTAGCAGAGAATTCCAAAAGAAGTAGCCCTTTTCAATACAAGCTTTTGCTCTAGCATGTGCTGATTTCTCACTTGTTCAGAGTTTCACCTCTCTAAAAGAACACAGATGTCTTGGAAACTCTTGCTTGCAAAGGGACCGGTGGTCTCTGAGGTAGCCCTGGACCTTATCATTAAGAGCTTTGAAAATCAAGCCTAGACTCTTGAACTTGACTTGTTAAATTGTTTTATGGGCAGCCAATGAAGAAAATTAAGTACTGGCATTAAATTTATATACCTTGTATAGTTAGTTCTGTGTATTGGTTAGCAGGCCCCATGCAGCAGGTAGAATTTCCTTCAGTGTCTGTGACTGTATTCCTACATCATCAAGCCAAAAGGACACAAAGTCATTGATCCACCTGGTGCAGTTCTCATCTATCTGAATGGAGCATAGTCTCCTGACTGGATGCAGGAAGGAGGGAAGGATTTACGTGAAACAGTTGATATTACAAGAAGAATAAGTCTAGGGAGGATTTTGGTGGGCTAAACTTTCATCAAGTAGATACCCTGTGGGCATCTATTAGAAGAAGGAAGAAGGGTAGAGAAAGACATAGGGGCTTTCTCGGGCAGGCACCAAATCCAATTTTGAACCTTATATCCACAAACCGTTAAGTAAAAAGCATTGCAATGAAGCCTAAATTTCTCTTAATAAAGTTACTAGAGTTGAGCAGAGAGAGGTAATTCTGTTTCTTGGGAGACCTTGATACACTGACATTTGATTTCATCCTGATTTGGAAAAGCCCCATAGTCCCTAACTCAGGGGCAATTTCCCTGGTGGGCTATCCCAGAACCACACACCTCAGTTGCCCTCAACTCTCTGACTGACATCAACAGCAAATGCTTTTTAAGGAACTGAATGTGCAAGCTGGAGGGAAACTTCTGAGTTTTCTTCTAAGCCTGCTTGGCAGTCATACCTCGGTTCTGTAGGAATTTTAATGAATTTGAACAACATTTGAAAAATGTGTCAATTCTGATGAATCGGGGAACTCCAATGGAAAAACAATTAAAATTTTTCCAACTAGCTCTAATTCTTATCTATATTAGAAACTGGAAGTTAATCCTGATATCCTGGTCATTCTCCTGCAAAAAATTCTGTGGAATCTCTATTCCTAAAGACATTCAATTGTTCACTTTAATATCACAACATATCCAGTACTACAGTGCTCCTTAGGTCTGGGCTGGAGCATTTATTCAAGAACAGAGTGAAGAATAACTCCTACCAAATTGTCCGCACTGCTTGGATTGCTGTAACTGAGGGTGTGGACACACAATGTGACTACTATGGAATAATTTACCCTAGATTTTATTTTATTATAAATTTACTCCATATTAAGATTAAACATATAGGTTCCAAGTTAGCTGCCTTTAGCATGATATAGTACAAGCTGGAGTGGGAATGATTTTGCACTAAGCAAACAGCTACCTAGGGACAAAATTGACTAGAGAAATAGACCCATGACTGCTATATCAGTGTATAGGCTAGTGATGGGCAAAATACAGCCCACAGGCTGAATCCAGCCTGCCAGGCAATTTAATTCAGCCCATGGGTGCTCACCAATTAATTGTTCCCCACCCAGCCTGTGGTCTTCACTCCAACCCTTGTTCTTGGAGGGCCCCGGCCCAGCCCCAGCCAGCATGGGCAGGGTGTGGGTGTGGGTATGTGGGGTTTGTGGGGTGCATGGAAGGGTGGAGGGGATCTGGGGACCCTCCCACCCACCTCCCCCCATGGTGCACAACCCCTCTCACCACTGCAGCAGCAGCTGGTGGTGGGCCCTTGGGGTGGTCATGTCCCAAGTGGCTCCAGCCAGTTCCCAGAGCTCCACATGCAAGGAGTGGAGCCAGGCTGGTAAGGAGTGGAGCCAGGCTAGTCCACCTCTATCACCCAGGGCTGTCATGCAGCTCCCAGGACTTGTGTGCCACCAGGTGGAAGCCCTGTATGATGGAGCCATGTGCAGCTCCTGGGACACCACTGGGAAGAAGGGAGCAGGGAAGGCAGCCAGTTCCATTGCGCAGGGCTTTCCCCCTGTGGTATACGAGTGCTGGGAGGTGCAGATAAGCCTCAGATGATAGAGGTGGGCTGGCCTGATTCTGCTCTTTGCCACCATGTACATCTTCCAGAACGGGCTGGAGCCATGCACTGCTGGGCAGCTGCACCTGCATGGGCCTCAAGCATCCTGAGGATCTGCTGCCAGGTGTGCCATGGGGGGCTGCCCACCCTTCCCACAACCCCCACCCTCTCTCATACCCCCCACAACCCCCCACATGTACACATACCCACATTCCCCAATGTACCTTACAACCCCTCCACACACAGCCACACACCCTCACAAACCCTGCACACACCCATCCACATACACACCCCACACCCCCTCCCACCCATACACAGTCATACGCCTCCACAAACCCTACACCCACCCACATATCCACCCCACTACACACACAGCTATCCCCCAACCACACCCAACACACTCCCCCATGCACAATATACAAGAGTAAGACTTTATTTTTGAGCTATTATGCAATCACCTCTATATACACTATGCAAACACAAATAAATCAAAATATTTTTTGAAATAAAAGTAAGATAGGTTATAGTAGATGTTTGACTTTTAGTGCATGATTTTTTTTTTCCAAGTTGGCACCCCTCTCCCCACAAAGGACTACTTTTGGGGGCAAGGAGAGAGATGTCTGTTGGCAAAGGTCAGGGGTTAGGGAGTGAGAATTCTGGTTCCAAGATGGTGACCATGGGGCAGGGCACCTGTCAAGCGGTGGAGCTACCATTGCGGTCCACGACAGCTCACCAAGACTCATTAAGCAGGCCTCCAGCTGAAATAATTGCCCACCATGGTGTAAGTCAGTCCCCACTTTGTAAGAGGTAACTTTACCCTGGATCAGTAACCACCAGCAGGCTGCATTGTCATGCATCCAGTCCTCTTTTATTCAGAGTGAAGTTAAATTTTTCTGGAATAAATTTGTTGTGTGCCTACCTTCTAAGATAAATAAAACCAGATAAATTTAGACAAATAGCCAATATTACACTTCCCATAATAGGTAGAATATTAAATCTGTGAGACAGAACTTTTAGATATTATTCTCATTGCTTTATGTGGACATTTATATTAGCCTCCAGTTAATTACTTTAAAAATAAACAAGAACTAGATATAGAGTTACCTAGAGTTAAGAAGGAAAAATACAAACATAAGAAATATTACCAAGAAGAAATTATTTGGTGACACAGAAAAGGTATTAAACATAAAAGCTGAACATTAAAATAAGTTATATGAAAAGCAGTGTACCTGCGAATAGCCGATTATGTCTCCATTTTCATCCAGCACATTAAAATTAATGATCGGACCCTGGACATCGGGATTGCTGAAGTCTGTATCACTGTAAATGTGCACAACAGGTGCCCCATTAGTATACTTTAATGTAGACAGCACAGTGTAGGTGTAGTGAGCTAATGCAAAGGTATGCTGTTTTATGTTCTCCATTCCACCTAGGAGGAAAACAATATATAGGTGTCAAATACCTTTTCTTTTCACCTATCTTTCTATTAGTCAATGCAGACTTTTAGATGGGGAAATTTTTAGCTTAAACTCACAGACAGTAATCTTATTGGTCCAAATCCACATATATCACAAAGTCATTCTGAAGTAGTTTTGCTAGAAGGGCAGGTTTGGTTGGGTGACCCAAAGGACTAAAAAAAGGGCTGTTCAACTGGTGGTTCTTGAAGGGCTAATTTGTGGTTCCTGGGCTCCCACTTGGCTGCTGCTCTCCCCAGTGCTCTGGCTGCAGTAGCAGCCAGGGTCTCCAGGCTCCCCTTCCCTCCTCTCTCTTGAATTTCCTGCCCCTTGCCCAGGGACAGGGTGGTGCACCATGCCATAGCCTGCTAAGCCAGGGAGCTGAGTCTGAGGGTCAGGGGGTGGTAGGGCACCCACAAGCATGGTGCAGAACTGGAGGGAGGGGTGCTCAAGGGTGTGGTTCAGTGGCAGGGGGGAATGCATGCAGCTGCCACGGGTGTGATTTGTGGGGTGTGCAGTCACTGACTGCTTAGAAATTGGAGAGCCCTGGAGTAGAACTGTGCTGCAGATCATGAAAGCAGACATCAGTACTAGCACAGGGGCAAAACAAGATGGGAAAAAAAGATCAGTTCTGCAGTGAATACACCTCATGCAAGTCCAAGTTCTTTAGTGGAGTAACACAGGGAGTAAATTAGTTAACACGGCCTTTGGTCTGGATAGAAAAGAAAGAATCCTTCACAGCTATAGATTTCTTTCCCTGCTTCTTTGCCATGCCCTAAGACTTCCAAAGGCATCCTGCTCGATCCACATTTTCCAGACATGTCTTTGTTTTGACAAGTGTATGCGTCTCATTTACAAGTAACTGGTAAGATGGCTTCTAGTTCCTCACACTGAAAGGAGACACCACTTCATAATGTATCACGGCCAAACACACACGCACTGATATTTTATTGTCTTCAGCAGTGACCTATATTGAGTTTCAGCAACAAAAACACTGGAATCTAACGCTTGAACCAAAGGAGAAATTAGCTAAACTGTGGGGAAGTCATACCATGATTACTGGGATAATCTATTGACAGGAGATTATTGAGCATGACTATGGGTGCTGCATTAGAAATGGGCACAAAACAAATGCATACTATACATCTTCTGGAGAACAAGAATGAATAACAGTCAAGGTAGAAACCAAAAAGAAATACTGAACTGTTACTCGAGGGGAAGATGAACTGGAAGATAGTACTACAAAGATGCATGAGTCAATGTAAGCATAGGTTGGGTAAAATTGTCTGTTTTACATTGCTAACAAAATTTTGACGGGACACGTAATACAGAATCACTTCAGATTATGCAGTTATGTACATGTTATAGAAAAGAGGGCATGCCTTTTTTGGTGGGAATGCCATAAATAATCTCTTTCCCCTCCCCAAGTACCACTCCTATCCCCTTCTCCTGCCTAATCCATTGCTCCTCCCCGTCAGATGTGCCATGTGCTAAAAAATGAAAAAGTTCAGTCCTAGGTATGGTGGACGAATGGTGAAGAACCTCTGTTTACCACATCGTGCAAAGAAATATGATGCAGCATGAATGCCTGCAGGCCCTTCTAGAACTTTTGCCAGAAGCCATTCAGTATGATTTGCCACTGTTTTTTTCTGAATTAACTTGGCCAACTTCTCTAAAACATTTTTCCCTTAAGAACTTCCACTGTGTTATAGTGTTTGAGGAGAAAAGCTCTAGCCCAAGAGATCCTAAAGACTGTTGAAGATGGCAGCATAGAGAATAATTTTTTCTCTGATATTGCTAGAGACCTAGCTGTCTTAATAAATCTCAGTGCCTTGGCAGTTTCTGAGATGCCTTTAATTCCTGAGATTCACAGCTTTTGCAAATTGGCAAGAACCTCTTAAAGGAAGATTAAACTACTTTGCTCATGCTTTGTTGAACAAATCTCCATCTCTTATTCACAGCAATCATCCTATCATTTCTATATTGTCTTCAGCCACTCTTGATTTACAGTTTCTTAATCACATCTCTTTGTCCATTAGTCAGAAGTTGCTGAGTCTCTTAATTATTTATTCTGACAAATACAAATGCAATTGCCTGTAGTTGATCCTTCTTAACACTGCAGACAGAATGTATTGTTGCCAATGGTCTGTATTTTCAAGGAACAGAATAGGTCAAGATTATGGCTGATGAAACAAAACTGATGATTCATAGCTGGTTTTAACAAAAATCATGTATCTATTATTCAGTTTTGATATCTTCTTTAATAATATGACCTCTGTACTGCCCTGTGCATGAATTTTCCTATTTCCTGGGTTTGCATCTACCACTCCAGTAGAGAGAGGGGAAGAAAACTGCAACAGATCTCCATCCTTTCACAAGGGGTCTGTGGGCTTTAATTAATGTATATGCATAGTGCGGTGGGGGCTAACCTTTTTGGCAGGCATGCCACAAATCAGCCCTACACCCTCCTCAAATGCTACACAAATATCTTTCCCCTCCCTGCTTTTAAAACAACAGAGGTTGACAAAAGAAGCTCATTGCTTTTCCACCCTGGCCCCTATACTAGAGGTGTTCTACAAGACTTTTGGTGCCACTGCTAAATACTACACAGTCTTTCCTAGATATACCATTTCTTTGGGCTTTGTGACATCTTGACCATGTCAGCACAGGGTAAACTCTGTTTCTTTATCCACAAGCTTTGGATACAGAATATGGAAATTAATGGTGTGTCAGCATGAAAACTTCACTGCATCATGGTGTTCCTTTTCTACATAGTGGCTGCATGTGCCCTCAGCCACTCTTCACATCTGCTAACCCACAACAAGAGGAGCATTTGCTCATGGTAGACATACTGAAAGTATAAACCCATACCCCTGCCTTTTCTATTTCTTTATATGGATTTATTCTCTTAAGGCCAGATCCAAATCCCATCCATAAGACAGACTTTACATTGGATCTTATCTGCAATTTTTCCCCTCCTTTGTTGATGTACCAATAGAACTTCCTACTGTCTCCCACTATCCTTGAAAGGACAGTTTAGAAAGAAATTTATAGATGTGATATAACCTAGAACCTGCTCAAGAGCTGGACATTAGACTACACAGGATAAAGGAAGAGGAGGAAATATTCATTTTTGGCCTTTCTCTAACTCCATCTATAAAACAAGGGAAGAGAATTAATTTCTCCTGTAGTTTAATCTAAATGAAAAGAAACAAAGGTGCACAGACGAAAAGATATTAGAAATAAGTGAGATAAGCAGGATTATAATACACTATTTCATATCAGCTGAAAACTCCATAAAGTATTCACTGAAAAAAGGAAATTCCAGTTTCTATTATGAAGATGCACCCTTTCTCTGTAGGACTAGGTGTCTGTGCCTATAGTTGGATGGCCTTTTGCTGTGTTATCAATTCTTTAAAATGTACCTACTCTGTGTCTAATATGGAGGCCTCTGCCTTCTCTCTGTACCATAATCTCTCAGCAGTAATTCTGTGAATAATAATTTAAATCCCTTTATACTCCACCCTCTCCCCCACCACCTCAGTAATTTTAGACTGTGGAAAGCAATTGCTTAATTCTCCGTTCAGGATGCTATACTGAGACCAACCACAAAACACATACTCAAGTTTTATCTTAATGAACAGAAGGAGTTCTGATGCCGCATCTCACATTTTTAGGGCAGCTATTTTACATGGCTAGTTATATATGGTAAGGGATGATAGCAGTCTTTGAGTAAAGCGAGCAGAACATGCTGAAAGGAAGAGTTATTCATTTGTTTCTTTATTCTTAATGTCTCTGGAGTGGAGTAGAGACGAGATGCTGCACATATTTGCTGGTCTGATTTTTAACGTACCTTTTTAATTATTAGTGAAATTCAATTCGGCTTAGCTGCTTGTTTGACTGAAACCATGCCACAATCCAGAAAAAGCTACAAATCAAAATAATTTTACTGACTGCTTGCAATGACAATTCAGCTCCTTTCACGGGCACAGTTTCTGGCCATATAGGTAAAAACAGTGCAACATTTCACAATGGCCCCACCCACAGAAGTGATAGAGAAGCTTTCCAACTCTGCTTTTCTTAAAACCCTAGGGCATTCCTTAGGTATTTTGTATGCTATACAATAACAGCTTACATACAGACCAACTCTCCATAGTGCCAGTGATAGAACAGTCTCAGGTTTAAGAGAATAATAAATTAATGCTTATTCAACCAGAATTCTTCTTCTATTGATAAAGGTTTTACAGCCAAGGTCTTTCTCAGTCCAGTAGACACCATATCCTCCCTGGTTACTACCCTATCAAGTGCTATGGGGAAGCCCTTGCAAAGAGGAATGTGACAGCCAGACTTTCTGCTCTTTAGGATAAGATCAGCTACGATGACCTTGGGGCTCCAGAAAACAAACGGTTGTCAAAAATCTGGCTTTCCATCTCGCAGGATACTTTATTTGCCAGTAATACCTTGCTGTGCATTTATGCTATAGCAAAAGGATGAGCTTAAAAAAATGCTCTGCCCTGCCTGGCAAATGAATTTCTAACATTGCAGGGTCAGAATTAAGTGCAACTCCTCTCCCCAAGAATTTCTCTATATTGCCTAACTCCACAGTTTTACCTTGTCCACTTGAAGGGCTCATGATTTCTCAATGGTCTAGTAATTCATTCTAATTGGGGCTATAGATCACTGTAATACAGCTAACTAGCAGTTTGCAGCAACAATAAAATATCTGCTCTTGTCTTTGTTACAAAACGGGATCTCCCCCATCATCAGCAACAGTGGCTCACAAAAAAATACACAGAAACCCAACAAAGCTATCCTTCCTTTTCCAGACTATGACAAATTTGAATTAGTGTCTAACAGTGTATAAAACAGGCACAGATGAAAGTTAACTGCTTTTTAAAAGAATGATACAGCACAGGTATTTTCCTTCTTACATAAGGCAGCTAGGTACTGTAATTTAACAAAATACTTCACCCTT